AATATATATATATATATATATGTATGTATAACAATAATAATAATAATAATAATAATAATAATAATAATAAAATATAATTTGATGATTGAATTTAACATTTTGATGGAAATTAAAACAAATTTCAATTCTCTACGTGTTCAACACCCACTATATTAAAGGTACCATTAGTAGTAGTACTCCCCCAAATAATTCAGTCTTTTGTGGAAAGAGGAGACAACTGAAATGGCAGGAGTCCCATCTCTTTTCTGACATTATCCCCTCACGTCCATCCCAAAACACCTCTCTAATTTAAATGAAATTGAAAGGGATGTTGCAAGAGGGTTTGTTATTTACATTTATATATTTTTTAAATTACAATTCTCATCTTTATAATTTATAATTCATTGTTGTTATCATAAACTTTTATAAACAATGTTAACTTGAGGGACAAAAACAACAAAGATTTGCAAACTATACGGATGAAAATCGTAATTTCAAAATCAGATAGACTAAAGTTGCAAGTTTTGATAAACTACAGGGACAAAAAGCGTAGTTTATATTCTGAAAAATAGGTAGTCAAATTGTCCACTACACTAGTTTTGGGTAATTGTAACAAGAGCATATACTTATAGGATAGGATCAGCATCTTCCACAAGTTGCAACTAAACGAATATACCTTTTTATGCTCACCTTCATCCTCTCTTAATTTCAACATCATCATTATAAAAAATTTCATACTCAATTTACTTTCAACAAACAAACCAAGTATTTTATTCCCAAATTCCCATAAAAATTTAAAGAAACCACGATTACTTCTAAATGTGCTCCAGGACATGATTACCATTCCTTCGTCACAAGTCTATTTCTTGACTTACTTACTATTAAAATGCCTTAAAAAAAACGAACCTTGGCCTTGACCCGTTCACTGAAATATGGACCCGAAACAGATGATGTCAAACGAATCTACACAAAAATGCAAAACCAGCCTACCACTTGAATCCTCCTATGCAAAGAACCAACATAAAGTGGAAGCTCACCAATTAGCCTGCAAAAAATGTTGCTTCGACTGATTTACCACACTCTCTCTTTTGGTTGTTAGTTATGGCAACTTTTTGTATGATATGTCTTCCAATATGTCGTAATGACCGTACCCATGAAACAGAACTTTGATTGAACTCTTCTCCTCCTGTTGATACTCTTTACCATATGTTGCTATGTTTAACAGTTTGTCTGAGCTCCTCTCCAGCATAAACACATATATTGTGGTCCTATAAATGAAACCAAATTTGGCATAGCAGCGTGAAGCTAGGTCCGTAGGTTAAAAGCTTATGCTACAATTCAAACCCACATAATCGAAAGGGAGAAACTACCAAAAAAACAGTTTAACAAACAAAAACCCAGAATATCATCTTCAAAAACAGAAGTAACAAGTCTATTTTTGAAAATAAGCAGAATATGAGAATGTTATACTCAGGTGAAGTATTGAGAGATTTCTGCAACAATATGTTTACACTGTTCTATCAAAGTAATGTGCATCACCCAAAAGAGTCAAGACTTCCTTTAACTAGCTACAAACCTTATTAGAATTGTTATTCCCAAATGTTCCTCAGTAGGAATGTCTCGTGTATCTACTATTTCTCAAGCATACACGAGCACAAATGAGCATGAAAGTTATATTCATGAAATGTCCTATTCCATACCACTAAGTTAGAAGTTCAACATAAAAACACAAGGGTCAGCTCTCTCACAACCTCATTCTTTCAGTTATTTAAACTTGCTCATAATATAAGTGGGTCATAAAGACCTTTTTATACTGAAACCAAAAGAGCCAACAGTGATGCAGACAAAAAGATGTTAATTTACATTCAGCAGATTGTCATTTCTACTCAGAACCATTCTCAAAAAGCTCACCGGATTCTATAAGGGGGAAATAGAACATTTGGTTGATTACAGAAATATGAGATGACTCTTATCATGAAATAGTTAAAGACATATATACAAGAGTTCCACAAATAATCAAAAAGGAACATGGTGATAGAGAAGGCCTACAGAACTTACTTAAGAAGATGAGAAGCCATCAATAACTCAGGTTCTCCTCCCCATACATAAGGTTTCTGGATCCTTTTGACATAGGTGTCGAAGTCTCCCTCAATAAACCTGAAAAAAAATTATAAAATAAGATCACTTTACAAACTGAAACCTTTACGGAAAAAGGATGGAGCAAAGAAACTTACCATTCAATCTCTTTTCGTCTCTTCAGGAGCTCATCAACAACCTGCACATCCCAGTTGGCATTGAAAGGTAATGAACACGTCATACTCTGAAATTTTGATACAAGGTCCATGAAAATTAACAATACAAGAAAGTCAAAATGACTTTACTTGAGCTCTTAGTTCATCTGCAAGTTCTCGCTGTCGATTCTCATCAGGAGCCTCCTCTCCGTTTCTCAAGCAAACCATATGAGCTATTGCTCTAAATAGACATCTTCCATCTGCAGGAACCCCTGCAATACTTCTAACTTTTAAAATCAACTCAATATGTCTCTTTAGCAGTCCAAGAACCATAAAATATACTGAGAAAATAAAATCAAAAGAAAAGGTATCAGAAATACAACACAAATACGAGTAAGCTACAATGATCAGTAAACGATGGTTTTTCCGGTAGCCTTGCCAAGAAAAAATCCAAATCATGGACAGCACAATAAACCCATTCACCTGTCACATTGCTAGAATTCTTTCGGTATCCCAACGGATTAAACCTTGTTGAAGTCAAAAGGCCAACAAATCTGTTTTGTGGTTGATGAAAATTGACGAAATCAAATTTACACATATAGCTAGTGCTTAAAAAAAATACTATAGTTGCAAATAGATTTCAACTTGATCGTACTCAAAAGCATCATTATTGTTTTTTTAACACGTAAAGGAAAACAGACACAGTAGCATCGCCAAATGTTACCATATCGTTATGGTAAAGGCCCAAAACGTACATGAGCTTGAACAAAGAAACAGAGCAAATACACGAGGCAAAGAAGAACATGAATCGTTTGAAACATAAACACGATCCCCAAACGAGTGGATTTTCATAAGAGAAATTTAAGCGGACAAATGAAAAGTGTGATTTTCAAAAGAAGATGAAAAAATTAACTGAAGATAGAAGTAATTGTATCTACAGAAACAACATAGGTTATAGTTGAGATTTCTGTAACGAAACTTGTATCCAATTAAAAACCACACAATCTCAGATTAAATATCAGAAATGTAATAAACAACTGCATTTGACTGTAAGTACAATTGTTTTTAGTCACTAACCTGTTATTCTATAGTTTGTGGAGTTTTCAGAAATAGTGGTGGTGCAATTGCCATTGATTTTATTGTCATCGGCGACGACAGGCTCCGAACTGGAATCGTTAAACTCAATGGGCGGCGCCGCAAGGCAAGCGCAGATGCCGAAGAGGAGCCAGGCCGTGTGAGGACGGTGCAGCCATCGCGCAGGTCGCACATCCCAAGCAACGTTCCATGAGCCCTCGCCGGCCGGTGTAAGGTTGTGACCATTTCCAGCCGGAAGAATAGCATGCCATAAGGATGCGGATATTCCGGAGGCAGAGAAATTCAATCGTGCAGCTGTAGAATGATAAGGAAATCGGCGACGGTCCAGACAGTCCGTCGTAGGGACTAGTAGTTTGATCGGAAAACTGGCATCCGATGGGATGTGGCGGTGACGAGCCGCGGAGGCGTAGTGAGCGAGTGGTGAACCGAGAAGCCAATATTTCGGACGTGAAGAGATGACACCGGCAAGCATCACAGAGAAACGGCGGTTGAAGGGGAAACTAAGATGGAGGCGCAACCATTCTCCGACGGCGAAGTAGTTATAGTGAGAGAAATTTTGGTATGGTGCGACCTCTAGAGATGAATATGGGTTGTATCGTCCGTCTGATAGGTTTCCTCGAGGAAGATCGACGGCTGTCAGGAAGATGTTACGCACGTGACTTTCACGAGGATTTGGGGTTGGTGATGTATTCACGTGTTCATCAAGTAACCTATGCTTCCCTCCCTCCAATGCTAATAACATCAATTAATTAAATAATTAAACCCTCTTGACAGTTTTTGCATAATTTATGGAAAATATAAAATACTAAAAATATATATATATATATATATATATATATATATTTAACTTCCATATATTTTTTTATTGTATTTGTTAAAAAATAATTTAAGATACTTACGAGAATCTTTTTTATTCTTGTTTTATTTAATTTGGTCAAATTTGAACGTAACGTAATTTAACTTTATTCCTATTATGGGTAACATACTGTCAAAACTTCTATTTTAGTATCTAAGATGTAAAGTTTTAAACATTTAAATACTTAAATGTAACTGGTTAATGTTTCAACTGATTACTTGAGTACTTAAATGTTTAAAACTTTACATCTTAGGTACCAAAATAAATTTTTTGAATATATGTTACCTAAAATAGGAATCAAGTTAAAATACGTTATTTTTTCATACAATTTGCTCATTTAATTTTATTAATGAGTTTTGTTCTTTTTTGATAAAATAAAAATGCCATTCTCTCTTTTTCATTTTGAAATTTCTAAATTTGTAGTTTTACTTTTTCAATTTTAGTGGGAGTTTCTTATAAACTATTAAAAAAGGTCAAGATTTCGGTTTTTTTTAATTGTTTGATACTCTTGCTGGTATTATTTATGTTTGCCTAAAATACCAAACCCATTTAACTTGAAAATATCAAATTGAATTCAACCTTAAATATGGATTTTGAGGATATGTTTTTATGATAAAAATATGTACTTTTTATATCTGGTTTGCATTTTTTAAATAAATTTAATCGTCAAATACTTTCATAAAAAAATAGAAAAAATATGATGTTTATCAGTATATTATGTTATGCTAGATTTAGCCACACAATTAAAATTGATTGGCTTGTAATATCGAGTTAATATAAGTTGGTTTGGGTTGTCAAAATGACTAAATTTGTGCTTTTAAGATCCCCAGGGAGTATTGTGGTTAGTTTAGAATGTGTAGGAACCAAAAGTGAAAGTTTGGTTGCGTGGAGTCCAGAAAAACAGGCTATATTTTAAGCCACGCGGACCAATAGAAACCGTTAAGTAAGACGCTTACGTGGAATATCGGAGGCGTCATGTTCATTCGCTTAGAGTCGTGGAGGGCAACAATATTGGTTCCGACTTCCAATGTCGACGCACGCAACTATTTGTTTCTAATCCATTTGATTTAATTTTTAAAAAATAACTTTTAAAACATTATGTACATTAATTAAATATAAAATTATTTAATTTTCAAGTTTACAAATTTGCAATGTTTTGGTATAATTTATTAAACATATATCTTCATCTCTAATTTATCAATTTCCAACAGAACCTCAAATTTATCAGCTTCATCCATATCCTTCTATTAGTTGATTGATTTATCCATATGCTTTCGTCTATCTATTTCAATAGATTTAGATAACCTTCATTAGGCGAATTGTTTCATCCATATCCTTCTATCGATTTCAACAAGTTTAGATAACAGATTTAGACAGATGGATATACATTTCGTTTTTCATATCTATCTCATCCTCTACTCATATATATTTTTGAAGCAAGTTTTTTAGGATACAGACAGATTCCAAGCTTACAAGTTTCGTTTCCTTCAATCTTTTGTTTTTGTTTTTTTTTTTAATTTCAATTATTTATAATATACGTGTTCTCTGCGATCTTTTGTTTTTTTATTCAAACAGACTCAACATCTCTCAAGGTTCATTTCCTTGTTTTTCTTTAATCTTTTGTTTGTTATTCAATATTCAATTTCCAGGGTTAATTTTTGTGATGAAGCGCATGCATCAACGAAAAAATGTTCTTCTTTGTGATTCCAAACATAATAATCAGGGGATAGTACTCATATGACACTGGAACCCATACATTTCATCTATTCTCTTGGTTCATCTATCAATGTTATTTCATCACATGCTACTTCCTTTCTGTACATAAGTATAATTTATTAAAACTTCATGTTTGAATTTGTGTAACTAACAACAGATACCCATAATCGTAACAGAATAAACATCTCATTTTAAATATATAAAAATAGAAAGTATAGTTAGGATAATCAATCTAATAGAATACTTAAGTATTATCTTTATAAAAAATTATATTGTTAAACAAAAAATAAATTACTTCTTTATCAAACTTAAATTAAGTTATAATAAAAAAACACGGAATTAAAAGAACTACACAAAAAAAATATAACTTTTAAATAGTTAATTTGATACACTATTTTTTCAAAGTTTTATGATATATTTAGAATTATAAAGAACATTATTGTTTTTGCAATACCAAATAAAACCGTATTATAAAATCAATAGAGACAAAAATAAAATGAAACAATAAAATCAAGATGTATCTCACTGCATTATGCGAGTATACTTCTAAAATGATTTAATGCATGTTATAATCTCTTAATTCACTTAACTAAAAAATCAAAAATCAAAATCTTTAAATTAAATTATATTTAAATTTAACATTTTGTAATTTAGAAATTAATTATATTATTTAAATATAATTTTCATGATTTTAATACACTTTTTAAAAAACTTTATATAAAATCGTATTAATTCAACCTCATTTGACGAGAGTTTGAGTGAAATCTTTACATTTTAAGTTTTCTTTATGTTTCTCTATTTTAAAAAATCTATTGCAGATGCTCTAAATTTATATAAAGAGTGAATTACATATTTGGTCCTTCATGAATATCTCCTTTTTGGTTTTCGTTCCTCGAAATAAAGTACATTGACGGTCCAAAAATCGTGTGTTTGAAGCCCAAATAAGTCCCTCCGATCAATTTTGTTAGTCTAAGGGTTCGTTAACCCAATCATGTGCCCCTCACATGAGATGCATTTTAGTGTTTTTACCGATCTTCTTCTCCAACCTCCTTCTCGTCAAGACCACCATCACCAACCTTAATAACCACCAAGATTCAAACCAAAAACTTTATATCATACAAAAATTGATATTCCAATACATAAAAGGAACAAACTATATAAAAAACCTCTAGTAATTTTTTTTAATGTGTTCTTGTTCTTCATATTAACAGACTAAAAACAAAATAAATAAATTAACAAATTACATTGAATTCATTGTGGTTTAGAACAAAAACAAGAACCTCATCTAGGTGACGGTTTCACGATTTGCAGGTTTGGGGGTGTGTGTTGGGGGACTCTCCCCACGACCTTCGTTTGACACCCCCCAAACATCCTCCACCCGGACGGCGAGTGAATCCCATCCATCACCATCCTTCGTTTTCACCTTCTCTGTAGTACACTCTAACCTCCTCGCCTTAAGTGTACTAATCGTCGTCGGAAACATCTCAAAAGAAGGTGGTCTTGAATTGAATCGAGAAAATAAGGATTAAATTTTGACATAGCTAGTTCTAGATCCAACTTTTGTGTTGTTTTTGAAAATCCATCTGATGAGATACGGGTTGATCTGAAAATTGATTTGATGAGATTATAATCGATCTAAGGATCTATAGATATATAGTTTTCTGTATGTATATATGTTGAACGAAATATCAAATGCAAATTTATTTTATTTTTAGAAATAAGAAAAGGAATAAAAGGATGAAAATGCCCATGTGAGGGGCACATGAAAGAGTTAGCGGAGCTTTATCTAATGGTTTCAGTGATAGGAACTGGTTTGGGCTAAAGAACATGATTTTTGGTCCATCAATATACTTTTATCTTTTGAGGGATGAAAATAAAAAAGAAGGCATTCTTGAGGGATCAAATATGTAATTCACTCTCTTTAATAATTATTAAAAAAAACTAATAGATTTTTTTATAGAATCATGAAGTGGATTGCTCATAAATAAAAGACCCATTACATACCAACATATTGGATGATTAAAAAATAAATTAGTTTATTTAATATATATATATATATATATATGTATGTATATATATATATATGTATGTATATATATATATATATATGTATGTATATACTATGTTATAAAACATTTGATAAAAATTCTTAAAAACCATTTTTTATACGTAAAGTACTGTTTATTAATACATATTATTTAAAACTCAAGATTGCAAGTAGATTGTGCGTAAGTACAACTTATTAAAGCTCCATATCTGAATTCGTGTAACCATCTGCAGATAAACATAATGAAACACAAGATAAATATCTCATTTTAAATATAAAAAATCTAAAATATAATTAGGATAACCATTGAATTATAACATAATACTTAATTATTATCTTTATAAAATGTTATATTATTAAACCAAAAATAAATTATTTCGTTATTAAACTTAAATTAAATTATAATAAAAATAATAAATTAAAGAAATTACATAAAAATGAGAACTTTTAAATAGTTGATTTGATATTAACATTGATATTTTTTTTTCAAATTTTTATGATATATTCAGATTTATATTTTATTCAAAAATAAAATCATTATTGTTTTCTTAAAAACACATAAAATCATATTATAATATCGACGGAGACAAATAATAAAATAGAACATTAAAAAATGATTATGTGTCTTGTTGCATTGCACGAGTACTCTTCTAGTATATATATACATATACTATATTATAAAGCATTTGACAAAAACTCTTAAAAATAATTTTTTATGCATAAAGTACTGCTTATTGATGCATATTACTTAAAATTCAAGATTACAAGTTGATTGTACATAAGTACAACTTATTAAAATTTCATGTTTTAATTTGTATAACTAACTACAGATAAACATAATCAAATACATGATAAACATCATTTTAAATATAAAAAATCTAAAATATAACTAAGATAATCATTGAGTTTTAACAGAATACTTAATTATTATCTTAAAAAATTATTTTATTAAACCAAAAATAAATTAGTTTGTTTTTAAAATTTAATTAAATTATAATAAAAAAATTTGAATTAAAAAATTACACAAAAAATAACTTTTAAATAGTTATTTGATACTAATATCCCTTATTTTTATCAAAATTTTATGATATATTCAAATTTATATTTTGTTCAAAAAAAATTATTTTTCTCAAAACCACATAAAATCGCATTATAACATTGATAGACTCAAAATATAAAACAAAACATTAAAATCAAAATGTATTTCGTTGCATTACGCGACCATTCTTCTAATATATAAATAAAGTAAAATATAGGAATTAAACGTTTAAAACATTAAACTGAAAGAGGGAATTGCTGGTAATATATGCAGAAAAAGTGACCAGTTCAATTGGGTGGCAAAAATTGTCGCTACTTGATGTTACTTTACTAGTCGTATACTACCATCATTATATATATTTTAAAGTTATTTGCCATGGACAAACTTTATCAAAATATTGGTAAAAAAAAGTTATCATTGATATTTTTATAAAATTAAAATATTTCGAGCTTATTGTTGAATATGTAAATGTTTTTTTTTATTAACTTGGATATCTAACCTGCTATGCGAGCCGACTAATCTTAGGGCGACCATCTGCTTTACAGATAGCCCGAAGTCACCACATTTGAACCTCTGTAGCCACAAGAAGATTTTTATTTCTCCTTGGATTTAAACTTAGGACCTCCTGATACTTTTTGACTTTTGAAGTCAAGTTCAAACCAATCAGACACCACCCTTGCGGTTAAATATGTAAATGTAAGTGTCACGCCTTTTGAAATGTATATTTATTTTTAGATTGAACTTTATCATGGATGTAATATCATCATATATCTATTTTTGGTTTTACTAAAGAGGACCATCCTTGACAAAATTCCCGACTCTGCACCTTCGTACATGTCAAACGTTTTAGAGCTTATACATGACATACGCCATTTTTCTTCAATTTTTTGTATTGTCCATGCTGATTCTTTTACAATTTTTAGCATTGTCCATGCCATTTCTTGTATAATTTTGGCATCGTTAATGCCATTTCTTCAACACACTTTTATTCCTTTTTTCATCCACTCGTTCGTCGACGTGCTTATATCATTTCGTAGTTCTGACCTCTAACTCAACAAAAAGCCGTTAGCTAATAGCTATTCGAATACGGCCACTGTCCTTGCCATTTTGTTCAATAATTTGGCACTAGAGCCAAAACCCGTTTCATACAAATTCAATTTTTGATTTCGGCATCGTTCATGCCAGTCCTTCATCAACTAGGCATGGTCCATATCATTTTTACACGTGTTTTATTTTTTATTTTCTTTCTATTGCCTTCTTTTGCTTGCTCGTCAAGCTTCCTCAAGGAACTGATTATGGTTTTGTAGGAAAATGGCCTATAAATTCAATAACAAAAAACACTAGTTATCCCAGTACGACCCAACCACACAAACAAATAGTTTTTTATACGATTTACGACCACTTAATTACCCTAAACAAACATCGTCTTAGAGCATCTCCATTTTTTTCTCTAAAAGGAGAAGTCAAAAATTATACTCTCCAAAAAAATTTACATTCATTTTCAATATATTATTAATTTTAGAGATTATAACATCAATTATATTAATAAAATATTATTTCTACATTTAAATTCAATTAACTTTATTGATGAAAACAATAAAATATTATTTTTCTCTCGCACTTCTATGGAATTTTCATAAGATTTTGGGAATCTATCGATAAAAAATTGTAAATTACAATTTTGTCCATATGGTTATATGAAAAGTTGGATTAGGTCCCTCAAATAAACTAATCACATGTATGATCATCATGGTTTCATTTTTCTTATGAATTGGGTCCCTTTCCTTAACCCTGTTTAATTTTGTACCATAAAATCCCACACATGCCCTTCACTTGAGGGGCATTTTGGGCATTTCATCCACTTCTTTAATAATTTTATTTGTTGTACAAGTTTCAATGTTGTTTGTACAAGTTTGTGAAGCTAAGAATGACAAAATAAACCTAAATTGAAACCCTCAAACATCATCGTTCTCCGGCCACCTGGGGTCATCTTCTCTGCCCACTAAAAAACACGCAAAATCAAGAACAATACATTTTTAAGAACAAAATTAGTAACATAACCCATCTTTTAAAAACAAATTTAATAACATAACCTGTTTTTGAAGAACAAATTTAATAACATAATATGTATTTGAAGAAAAAAATCGCCAACAAAAACCCATTTAAACAAAATCCGTCTTTGAAGAACATCCTAAATTAATGGAAAATAACAATAGCAAGAGAATTGGATAAGTGGAGAAGCATTAATCGTAACCTATAACCTTTGGAGAACAAACTTTCATCACAGTTATTGGTTGACAACAACAAAAAACATACATGATTTCCATGGAATATGTTCGAGGAATCAAGTCAATAATACAACCATGCACTATGCGGTTAGGATAGAAGCTTTAGCTTTAACCCCGGTCTAATCTATTGATTATGTAGTACTTATACAACCTACCTCGACGGTGTCTCTATGGTTTGAAGCACCGTTAAGTCGTCGTTGATTTTGAACCAAAAACCACATCGTGGCACCTTGATTCTTTGATGTTAGCCGATGAGTCATAAGAGCTCGAACAAAAAATCAAAGTCGTCGTGGTTTGGTTCAAGAGGAAGGGGATTAGGTTTTTCATCCAACGATACGTCATGGTCTGGATCGAGAGTTGCAGAAGGGTGGTCGGAGTTCCACGGTAAAATAAAGCAAATATAAGTAGGGGAGAACGGAATAGGTTGAGGAACTGTCGGAAGATGGGGTGACACTGACAGGAGCTTCCTTTGATTGGTTGGCCAACGGGAGGAAGGGTTTTGTGTTTGTCAAATGAAGGGTTATTATGTCTTTGTTTTTAATATTAGGTTTTGTTTTCTTAAGATGCTTTATATACTTGCACATAAAGCTTTACAACCCCTACATCAAGAAATATTTTCAAACAGACTAAAATACCCCTCACTTGAGGGGCATGTGAGGGATTTAACGGTGCAAAATTAAACAGAGTTAAGGCAGGGACCCAATTTATAATAAAAGTGAAACAATAGTGACCATACATGTAATTAGTTTGTTTGGGGACCCAATCCAAACTTTCATATAATCTAAGGGACTAAATTTGTAATTTGGTCAAAAGGAAAAAGATCAACTTTCAAAGGCACCCAAAAAAAAAAAAAAAAGCAGCTCCCGCTCTCGGCTGACATCTGCTGTGTCGTGTCTGGGAGCATCTTTGGGTCCATTCGCTCCGATACAAACGTCGGAACTCGAAAGGCTTGCTTGGAAGAATTAGCGGCTTGGCATAATCCTACGAGGGAGGTAATCATGCATTTATAGCTCCATTTGGAAGGATTAGGGCAATATTATTAAGACATTAACAAGTTAATTTGTTGATAATGATTTGTAATTCATTTGCTTGCTATCTATCATCTTGAAATCAAATCACTTGGCAGTTAGATTTTAGTTTGTACATTTACTCTTAGAGTTTTGAACTTGTCTTGAAGAGATCTCCAATTTGCTTGTACTGATTCAACTGCGTTGTAGAGATCATAGAGTCGGCCGGATAATAGGTTGAGTACATTCCCTAGCCAAAGCAAATGACTGTCGCATTGTTTTTCCGTTAGTTTTTGAACGCGGTGGTGCACCAAACACCAATACGAGATGTGGAATAAACTCCCAAAATTTTTGGGTCCAATTAGACATGTTTTAGTCTTAGCCCAATTGTACATGTTCATATAATGCTTTAGGCTTATCAGTGTTAGAAGAATGACTATATATGAAGTGGATTATATATGTTAAATTGTCATTTTTAAACTTCTTTGTTGTTTTAGTTTGTAAGACTTTCACTGTGATGAACTACTTTGTCCCGTTCATCATTGATAGGTGCACAAGTTTGACGAACACTGTTTCATACTCTTACATGTTTTTTTCATTTTTCTTTCTGACAACTCTATGCTTGGTCAAAGAAAGCATTAAAATCGTTGTTTAGGAGTTTTGAACGAAACATTGAGGACTTCAATAGAATGAAAGACGCACCATATTCCAGGCTTTATTAGTCTCAACTACTAAGTAGTATGGTTGGCAGGTTGCTTGCTAACAATCCTTCCAGGATAAAACAAACTCACCAATATATAACAAGTAAACGAGTTCAAGATTTTCTATTTGAAGACTTAGAAGTTTTAATATTAAAGATGAAAGAAAACAGTTAATCAGAAAGATGGATCAATTTGTATTTTATGCATAATGTACCATACGACAATTCATGAATCTGAGTATAATTAGCAAAAACTATATTTAGACCATCCACTGATTTTTTGAGTCAAAGAATCGATTGCCAATTTATTATATCAAAGAATCCATTGCTATATTTAGACAACTTGTATCAAAACATCATCCACCAATTTTTTTCAAGTCAAAGAATCCATTGCTAAAACTAAAGAAAAAACAAAAACCACAAAGATTTAACCAGAAATAAAGAGAAGGTATGAATTCCAATAGAGAGAGAGGGGGAGGACCATGGAAATGGTCTTCTGCAAGATCCACATAGAAGAAGAACAAGAAGAAAAACTTGAGAATGTGGCTTTCTAAGAGTAGCAGTAACTTTGGCCACAGCGTTAGCGCTGGAAATGGGTTGCCTAAGTGCAAGGGAAATTCCATTGTGGCAATAGCAATAGACAAGGATAAAAACAGCCAACACGCTCTCAAGTGGGTTGTTGAACAACTTATCAACCGTGGTCAATCCGTCGTCCTCATCCATGTCCATAAAATTTCTGCAACAGGCAACTCCTGTCCCCCTTTTGCTTTCTACAATTATTTATGTATACAATAAATATGTATTCGAACATGAAGATTGAGGGATTCTTGATTGAATCCATTGTGATATCAGAAATTTTCAATAATTTTTTTTTATCCAAGATTTTATTGAAAAATGATGAAATTGCAGACAGAAATAAAACATGAGGTTGATAAAGTGTTGTGGATGCAGGGGGAGGGCCTGATGCTGCAAACAAGCTACAAAATGAGAAGCAAATCAGAGACTTGTTCCTCTCTTTCCATTGTTTCTGTACGCGTAAACAAGTATGCACCTTTTCACCTATATTTTTTTCTTCTTCCAAACATGCATATACATAAGAACCTCCCCTCTCATACGAGCGCTAATGCACCGGATCCCACCTGAACTCCATAATTAAGCATGTTTGGGCGAGCATAGTACAGCGACGGTTGACCCCCCTATGAAGTCCTCGTGTTGGTGGTGGAAGTGACGATTGGATAAAGATCCCATGTGCTATTAATTTTGATTGAAAACTTGTTTTTCTCCGAGAAAAACATCTTATTTTTTGGGTTGTCACGAGAGTTTGTACCATCACTTCAAGCTCTCTTTATCCTGTTTTCACATCCATTGTGTGACTTCTGTGTTTTTCTGGTTGTAGGTACAATGCATTGACGTTGTACTTGAAGATACCAACGTACCAAAAGCTTTGGCAGAATATGCTTCTCAGAACGGAATAGAGTATCTGGTGCTAGGCGCGTCATCGCGGCATGGTTTCATCAGGTGCCTTCTTCTGAAGAATTATTAGCTAAAAGTCTAATTTCCAGTTGCTAACATTTTAGCATAAATTTATGTTTTGACTAATTGATTATTTGTTTGTCAAATGTTCCCTGATGGAAGATTTAAGACTTCTGATGTTCCTAGCCATGTAATGAAGGTGGCCCCGGATTTCTGCACTATTTATGTCATCTCCAAAGGAAAGATTTCTAGTGCAAAGAAATCTTTACGGCCTGCCCCATTTGTTTCTCCGTTGATTGAGCAAATCCAAGAGCAATCTAACACCCCCACCACCGCCATCCCCACCCCCACCACCAAGACCAACAATAACAACAGCTTTGCATCACTTGCACCTAGAAAGAACAGTTTTCAGTTTAGAGGTCTGTCATGTGTTATCTATTGAATCACAATTTATTTTTCTGAATCTGTTTTCTGTTGCTATTTTGGCTTGCACCTGACATGGAGAACCTGTTGGCAGCTCCAGAAAAGCCACCAGAGAAGCCTCGTCCAGTGCCTGATGAACTTGAATCGTTCATGTAAGTTTGAACAGGTGATGAAAGTACATTATGCACTACAACAGAATCGGCTTTATAGGACCCCAAACATGTCTAATTGTCATAATAGACTATTTTATAGGACTTTAGTTTATAGGAACAAAAAAATGTGCGTCTTATGTAAAGGTGTTATAATATGTTGATGGAACGCCCAACAAGTATTTTTAGGACACTTCTCAAATAAAGTATCAATTTAGTTTTTTTATATGACATTATTTGAAAAAGTTTCTTATAAAGACATGTCATATAAAAAGATGTGTTCATAACACACTTCTAAAAGATGTCGTATAAGAAAGGCAATAGGGCAATAGGGCAATAGAGCAATAGAACATTGCCCTAAAAAACTTGTTAGGATGCCAAAATACTTTCTAACATCTTACTGTAACACTTTTGTATATGGCGCACGATTTTTGATCCTATAAAGCACGGCATTTAGACATATTTGGCTATAAAGCCGATTTTGTTGTAGTGATGGAAGTGATGAAGGTCTAAGAACTATTACTTAACTGATAAAAAAATACCAGATCGCCATTTACTAGACCCGGAAGAGCAGCAAATGCAAAGCTCATGTCGCTTGGGGATCTCCCAGAATCAGACACTGATATATCATTTGTAAGTTCTGGAAGGCCAAGCATTGATCGCGTGCCTGCTGCTTTCTACAATGACATGGACTTGGGCTCACCTTCATGCTTTTCAACCAGTTCAGATTACAATTCCAGTTCTCCCCACTTGAGATCTTCATCACAAAATGTGGTAAACAATACCATCTCACAAATCTAAAATTAACTCACTTCAGATAGATTTCACCGGATTATCCTAGTCCGAGTCAGGATCATTTCAGAAATTTTCATTTTTATGAGAATATGAGAAAAGGTGAAGGTACATTTATACAGTGTGAAGGTCTGTGTATATCATTTTACACCCTTCACACGATATAATGTAACCTTCCAATACATGGTTGAAGGTCACATGAAGGTTACAACATTTATACAATATAAATAAATGTACACTCATCGTTTCTCAACTTCTCACGAAAAGGGGTTGTCCCCATTGGAATCCAACCCATCCTAGTCTTCTTACATTCTGTAGCACAAATTTGCAGCATGTATTACAAGCAATAAAACTTGAATTCATTACAGGATGAGGGTGACATGGAAATGAAAAGGTTAAAGATGGAACTCATGAAGAGAATGGATTTATATAGTATAGCCTGCAAAGAAGCAGTTACAGCAAGAGAGAAGGTGGTTTAGAAAGCAATGGAGTCTTTTGTTGTTGATTATTTCACGATTCCTTTTAGTATAGAAATGAGTAATAATATGAGATCATCCCAACAGGCAGGAGAACTCCACCAGTGGCAAATGGAAGAACAACATAGATTGGAGGAAGAAGCCAGGGTGATTGCAGAGAAAGAAAAAGCCAAGGGCCAGGCAGACATGGAGAAAGCAGAAGCCGCTAGAAGAATCGCTGAATTGGAATCCCAGAAAAGAGTAGCTGCTGAAATGCAAGCATTTAGTACACATGTCAACAAGGAAGATTTGGCCAGTGTGCCAGATAACCAATTTAAGTACAGAAGATATACAATTGAAGAGATCGAAGAGGCTACAGAGTTTTTTGCACAATCTAGAAAGATCGGCGAAGGTGGTTATGGTCCTGTGTTTAGAGGCAGTCTCAATCATACCCCTGTTGCGATTAAGGTCTTACGTCCAGACGCTGCACAAGGAAGGTCACAGTTTCAGCAAGAGGTAACAACACCAATAATTTCACCAAACAACAACAAAATTGGCTTTATAGGATGCCAAATATGTCTAAATGTCTTAATAAGACTTCAAGTTTTTATATGATCAAACGATTGCACGTTCTATATAAAGGTGTTACAATAAGTTGATAGGATACTTTTGAACATTCTAACAAGTTTTTTAGGATAGTAATCCATGACATGATTTGAGAAAGTGTTATGACACTTTATTTCAAATCGTCTTAAAAACATGTTAGAACGGCTAAAAACGAGCCATCAACTTATTGTAACACTTTTACATGGAACACTCGATTGTTTGGTCATATAAATTGTTTGATCATATAAACTTAAGTCCTATAAAACAGTCTATTATGACATGTAGACATATTTGACATCCTATAAAGCGGATTTTGTCTATAATAAGCCGGATGTTTTTCCATAATTTGTTAACAAGTTGAATTATGCTGTTTATTGGTTCATGATAGGTGGAAGTATTAAGTTGCATGCGGCATCCAAATATGGTACTACTCCTCGGAGCCTGCCCAGAATACGGGTGCTTGGTCTATGAATACATGGCTAATGGTAGCTTAGAAGATCGCCTACACAGAAGAGGAAACACCCCACCGTTGTCATGGCAAATCAGATTCAAGATTGCATCAGAGATCGCCACTGGAATCTTGTTTCTCCATCAGACCAAGCCAGAACCAATAGTTCATCGTGACCTGAAGCCCGGCAACATTCTTCTAGACCAAAACTTCGTGAGCAAGATAAGTGATGTTGGTCTAGCCAGGCTGCTCCCTCCTTCAGTAACCGAAGACATCACTCAGTACCGTATGACATCAACGGCTGGGACCTTTTGCTATATCGATCCGGAGTATCAGCAAACCGGGATGCTTAGGGTTAAGTCCGATGTTTACTCTTTAGGGATCATGTTATTGCAGCTGATTACAGCCAAACCGGCTATGGGTTTGAGTCATCATGTTGAGAACGCTATTGACGATGGAACCTTTGGTGAGATGCTGGACCCATCGGTGCCTGACTGGCCTCAAGACGAAGCTCTGGGGTTTGCAAAACTAGCATTGCAATGCGCTGAGCTAAGGCGGAAAGACAGACCGGATCTTGGCAAGGTGGTTTTGCCAGAGCTTGTTAGATTGAGAGATCTCGGTGAGGAGAGCATTGCCGCTGCAAGCTGAACGCCAATGGGGTAAAAACCACCCGATCTTTTGGTTAAATGACCTTCTGTAAAGGTTCTTTTAAAATCCTTTACTTATAGGTTTGAAAATGTCAAATTTTGTACATAAAAACCTATCAGCAAAGTAGGTACCGATGATATCTCTGGTTTCCATTGGTTCAGACAGGCAAGCTAGTAAATTAATTTAATTGCATATCAATTTCTTTAAGCAAAAATTAACTGTCAAACTAAGATCTTTATATACGTAGACCAATTGGACCGAACAAATCATAGTCAAAAGCTCAGAAAAAAGCCCGGGCCAAGCCTGAAGGACTGATTCAACCGGACAAATGGTTAAGGATGGGTCTGATCTGGGGTGGTAATGAGTCAGGTTGGGTTGAGTTTGGATTTAAATCTATTTATTAAACAGGTTGAAAATCTTAACCCAATCCAACCTGCTATCTAAATGGGTTGAAATTTTTCAACCAACCCAACTTGTTACCTAAATGGGTTGACAGTGGGCTGACATGTTTATGATTTTTTTAACCCAATATGTTAAATAAAATGTTGAATCTGGGTTAACCCATTTATTTTTAAAATTTTAAACAATAAAAAGGACTAGACTATTTTTTTTTAATAAAACATAGTACAACCACAAATACAAACAAATTGTTCAAAGTTTGAATAAAACACAACCGCAACAAATATATTGTTCAAAATAAATTGGACAATTTTAAATTATAAGTAACTCGGCTTCCACTTTCATCAATCCCAAGTTCACTCTCGGTATTACTTTCCTCTTGATCCTCTATCTTCTCTTGAAGAGTTGGATTGGACTTTGGAGGCAATAATAGAGTAATAGACTAAAGTGTTTTCTTAGGATTTCATGATGATTAATGGAGAAGATTGGAATTTGGACTTTCATTTCACGACGGTAAGAGTTTTAATTAAGATAAAAACAAAATTAAAAATTAGAGTACTAGATATAATATTAAGAATAAAATAAAATTATATAATATTTTAAATGGGTTAGAAACAAGTTGAAAACAGGTCGAAAAATTCAACTTAACTCAACCTATTTATTTAAATGAGTTAAACGGGTTGACCTATTTATTTAAATGGGTTGAAAATCTCAACTCAACATGCTAATACTGGGTTGGGTTGAGATTAGATTAACGGGTTGAGTCATTTTTTGCCACCCCTAGCCTGATCCCTCCAATGACCGGTCTTTGCTTTTTGATGATTGAATCGGTTATTGTGCATTTCTAGAGAAAAGAAAGTGATTGGATTGGGTGATTGTGAGTAGAACATTGAAAAATAGATTAATAAAAACCATCTTGTTTCAACTTTTTTCATGAAAATCGTATAATTTTGGACTTTTGGTGGTGACTTGGTCATACCAACCACAAAGGAGTTTGAACGATTTATCGAGACATTTATACAACATGACAAACACATTATAAAAGTAGTATATTTCAAACATGTTTAACATTTGATCAGTGAGGAATTATGGAGCCCATGACAATCATTTTCGAGGTCTGATTTTGACTTCCCTTGAATTTTCAAGATTTTGACTTTCCTCGAATTTTCAAGATTTTTATATTATTTCAGGTTTAATATAAATCATGTGATGACTTTTAAAAATCTTTCCATTTTTCAAGTCGATCCAATCCATTCGTTCGTAGAGTTATTTACTTGATCGTAGACATTTATGGAACACCTCTAACATAGGGACAAATAGTCAATTTTGAAAGAATTTATCGTCAACCTCTTTCATATATGAATCTATCTGATTCAGAAGGGAAAAACTTGTACCAGTATCTCGATTTCAATTCAAACATGGGTTTGATTCACACTCCATGTTCTAAGAAATATTTACCATCTGAAAAGAGGAAAAACATAGTCTTTGTCTAAAGAAATGCGTTGAAAAAAGGTAGATGTATAGAACTTTTCAACGAGATAGTGCTTATCCAACTCTCTCAAAATGGAATCTATTCCAAACATATATGCCATGGTTCTTTACTTCGACATGGAATATCATACACTAGATCAAGTATCAAGAAATAGATAGAGCTTAACTGTAATGTTTGATCATCCTTTCGTATCATCATCTGGCAACAAAATTAAGACACTAAACCACAAGGGTGATGCCTGATTGGTTTGAGCTTGGCCTCCAAAGGTCAAAAGTGTCTGGAGGTCCCAAGGTTCAAAATCAATGAGGAATAAAAATCCCCTTATAGCCATGAAAGTTCAAATGCAATGACTCCAGGTACCCGCAAAACATGTGACCGTCCTAGAATTTGTCAGCTTACATAGCGGGTTGGATATTCAGGTTCACCTTCTAATAAATTAGCATGAAAGTATATATAATTAGCCAAATTATATGAAGCATGGACAGAATACTATATATATTATGGTCCCTAGTGTAAATAAATGCTAATTTAAATCTTCTTATGTTAATTACCTAACAAATTATTGAAAAAATAGCTTCAATTAGACGAATAAAATCGTAATAACCCCTAATGAAAACGATCTGATATTCAAGACGAAGCTGCTTGAAAACACAATTGTTTAAATGGGTAGGGACCCACATAGGTATTCAATATCAGTTTTTATTAGAGAATGATATGGTTGGAAATAACATTAAAATCCAGTTGTCTAAGATGTAACATGATACCCTAAGTGCGAGAGTTCAGCCACTTCAAAGACATAACTGACCTCTCATAAATGATATTTAAGAATTAAAGAAACCATGTTGATATTAAAACCCTGATTAAAGAGGATTTAAACTGATACAATATACGACTTTTAGTTCTTTTTACAGTTGCGGTTAATATCTAGTTTAAATAAAAACACACTTTGTTTTCTGTTTCTATTTTGGGATACTTGTTTTCAAAGCTTTATTTCAAAGACTCGACTGTTTTTTTCAAGACGAAGTTGCTTGAAAACGCAATTGCTTAGATGGATAGGGACCCGTATGGATATTCAAGATCAGTTGTACATTCCTACCGAACTAATATTATTTAATTGTTATTTTTCAGTTTAACATGTTTTTTACATTTGTTGTTTCAATCAACTATTTCTTGATAATTCATGTGTTTGTTTCTAAGAAATTGTGTTTTATAATAACTATGATTTATTTTTATAAAAAATTACTCACTTGAATTAATATTTGAGAAGTGTTATCAAAATTGTGTAATATAATGTGAAATAAAATTATAAATTTTTACTATTTTTATATTTTAATAAAATTTTAGAAATACAACAAAAGGAATTTATAAAATATTAGATATATATTAAAAATCTAAAAAACTAATATATAAATAGTAGTAATCAAAATAATCTATACTATATTATAAAACATTTGACAAAAACTATTAAAAACCATTTTGTATACATAAAGTTTCGTGCTTGAATTCGTGTAACTAACTGCAGATAAACATTTCATTTTAAATATAAAAAATCTAAAATATAATTAGAATAATTAACGTATTCTAACATAATACTTGACTATTATATTTATAAAAAATTATATTATTAAATCAAAATTAAAATATTTCGTTATTATTTATTAAACCTAAATTAAATTATAATAAAAAAATTGAATTAAAGAAATTACACAACAAAACAAGAACTTTTAAATAGTTAATTTGATACTAATTTCGATATATATTTTTCAAAAAAATTAAGATATCTTCAAATTTATTCAAAAATAAAAACATTATCATTTTTCTCAAACCCACATAAAAACCCGTATTCTAACATCGATAAAAGACAAAATAAAACAAAACATTAAAATAAAAATATATCTCGTTACATTACACAAATACCCTTCTATTAATTAGTAAATTTAAATAACTTCAACAAGTCTCTTGATAAACTTTCTTCTTACTTGAAAGGCGTGCATTGGTGATTATAAATGTAATTTTTATTTTCATCCTACTTTAATATCACTATTTTTTATTATTATTTATATATTAAATAATTAAAATGTTCTGAATTTAACTCAAAAGAAGTGGATCATCATCTCCTTTTACAAGAATGATAGATTTGAGGAAAACAAAGTATTGAAGTTAGGGTCACTCCCCATCTTATCAAACCTACCATTTTTATCAAAAGTTAGTATTTGTCTTTTTATTGATACTAGACCATCTTTACAACATTTTTTTTAATTAAAATATTAATATTAATATTTGAATTTTAAAAAAAAAATTCAATTCAATTCCAATAATTTTATAAATTAATATTTGTTACGGACTAGGTCCCTTGCTCTAACTCCAGTAATTGCTGCTCCGTTAAGTGAAGGGTAACTACTGTCTTTTTACTTTTAACATCCTCCCTGTCATCCTAGGAAATATACATATATTAATATAACTTACATATACAGGTATACACAAATAGGCTCCCAACCCAAGAACATGCATAGAGGCGTCTTCCTCGTTCTGTCTTTCCTTAACTTCGACCAACCTCATCGCGCTTATACGCAAAGACCAACTCTGACAACCTGCTTCTTCTCCCGTCTTTGGTCCCCTCCCTCCTCCCCTATTAGCGGTTACTCACCACAACCCTTCTTCCTCCCCCATACAGTGCTTATCTTCTCGTAGTAACAATATTAAGACACAGAAGATAACAATTCGTTGTATCTAGCCCCATCCCTTATTTTTGGCTCAAAACCATGAACTCCGATTCAAACACCCATTTCTCCACCTGAAACCCTAAGTTGACACCTTTTTTATGGTTGCCATGAAAATCGATTAATGATAATGGAATCCAAGCTAAATCTGAATCTCTTGTGAAATCGATCGATTAATCGGAGTCTGTTGCGATCGTTGGCTGTTAATTTGGATTTAAGGAGCATCTCCATTTCTTATGCTATGTTCTCTTCCACCTCTGTGGCTCTGGATCTTCTTTCCCCCCAAATCCCATATAGAAATTAGAAGTTCCATCCAAATGAGTGGACGAGAAGGTTGTTGTGAATGATAAATCTCAGCTTCTCGCACTCAGCACTCTTTTCCATCACCA